TATAGTCCTTCCATATGACAGAATAATATGTAGGCACTAGCAACCATATTGCAGAATATTTAATACTATAGAAACTAATTTGTTATGCGTTCTTAGATGAGTAGTTTGGGATACAAAACCAAATGTACTCTTTGATCTCAATTTCATTTTATAAAAAAAAGGCAAAGTATTGATCTATTTATATGTTTACTTAAGTATAGAAAAAGCCTACAAGGCTTATTTCTTGAAATTTGTTGTTTTATAAATGGTAGAACATTTATTTTCTGCTCTTTTTGCAAAATTTCCTAAAATAATAAAATTATATTTCTTTTAATGAACACTGATCATTCTGCAGTAAGAAAAAGTTAATGTTACTAAATATCTTGTCCATCCTAGATCAATTCTCTAAGTATCTACAAGGTACCACATACATTTAATAAATATGTTCTCCATTTGTAGATTTTTACAATACACATTCTTCATATGATTCTGCTATTTTGTATAGTCTTCTCATAGTTTTGGTGAAGAAAATTGCAACCTCATGCAGTGTCACGACTTAAAGATGATCTACATTATGATGCTCCCAAATGTACATCTCCAGCTCTGCGGTCACCACTGAATTCTGGATGTTCCTTCTTGTTGTCTACCAGGCATCTCAAAATTAACAGAACCATAATTTCTAATCAACCTCAACAACCAAGCCCGAAACCTGCCCCACTCCCAGAATTCATTTTTTCACTTAATGACACTATCATCACATCAAACCCAATTATTGTCTGATAACTCCACTTCCTATAGTTATCCAAATCTATCCACTTCTTATATTATCAACTCTTCTTATTCTAGTCCTAACTACCATGACCTTCTGCCTCTATTACTTCTTCTTTAACTCTTCCTCTTCAGAGCCCATTTTCCGTAGTGAAGCCAAAATTATCTTCATAAAACATTGATTAAATTGTATCATCCTCTGCCTACAGTCTTTAAATAGTTTCCCATCCCATTTAGGATAAAATCTAAACTCTCAACAACAGCCTACCAAGCTCCCCTTAATTTGGCTTCTGTCTTTCTCTCCCCTTCACTGATTCTGTTCCAGCCACATAGTTTTCGGTTTGTTCTCTGAATACAATAACCCTAATTCCTGCCACAGATCCTTGAATGTATTATTCCCTCTGCCCTAAACACAAATGTCCCAGATTTTCCAATGATTCTTCTCCTCATTCAGTGGCAACGCAAACATCTCCATTGGAGTAGCCTCCACTGGCACACTCTTCTCACATACCTCCCCCTACCTCATCCCGCTTTGCTTTCTCTATGATGTTTGTCACTTACAATCATCGTATTTGTTTGTTTACTTTTTCGTAGAATGTCAATCCCATGAGAGCAGAGTTGTGTCTGCTTTGTTCACCTCTGTAACCTCAGTGCTTTGTGTAGAACCAGGCCCACAGTGGGAACTCAATAAGTATTGGTTGCATGTTTTGAATAAATTAATTAGTATGACATTTAAAAAGTGGCGTTTTCAAAGTTAAATCCCTAACCATTTGTTTGATAGCTCTAATTGCAGAGGTTACGTGGTAGAAAATGAGATGAAGGTCAAAAATATTTTGGGGCTAATGTATGGAGCCAAGAATTGCTAATAAATATGGCTGGCTTATTTTCATATATTTATATATGGGGGAAAAAAGGACAAGAGGAAGATTTGCTTATCCCCATGAGGAGAGATGGCATTTTCATAATACACTGTTAACAAAGGCACTTCATATCCATCACAATAAAAAAAATGAAATTTTGTCCAAACACAAATAAGTGATCATCTAAATCCATAGATTGGATTCTGAAATATGTTCCTACTTCTACTTCCTCCTTTGCCCCACAGTACACCCGAATTAAGAAATTCTTACTTATGGAAGACAATTTTCTGAACACTTATGGAAGACAATTTTCTGAACCGTTTCAGATGTGACACTGTAGTGGGTCCTTTTAACTGCCCTTTGATACTGACAATACAATAGCCACCCCTGCCAGGGCACACACCTATTATTGGCACTCAGAAGTCTGACACAAAAATTTCTCTTCATTTCCAGGGGAGCTGGTTCAGGAAAGAACATGTTCTAAGACATTAAAGGTGAATATTTTAGAGACACCAGTACAGAATGTGACTTTCTGCTATCTTTTATAAAAATCTAAATTTCAATCATATCATCTGAGTAGACTTTAAAAAGATAGACCTCAAAGGTAGCATTTTGTTTGATATTCTCTTGTAACCCTAGAATGAAACTTAAGCATGAATAATTGGCGATCTTCACGCTGATATAAAGATGAAAGAATGGGCTCAATTTAACACAGGAACTAAAAAAAGTGGGATTATTTCCCTCTACCACCTTGAAAAGGATATGACTTTGAAACCTATTAAACAAGAAGGGAGAAATGTTATGCTGAATGGGTAACATATCAGTGAATTTTCCTCCTACAAATTTTTATAAACCCTGTATTTTGAGTATCTACTCATTTCTTTGTGAATATTTTTTCTTATATCTGTACATTCTTTCCTATAGAGTAGCTCCATCTTTATTACCTATAACAGGGCTTTCCATCTGTTTTCATCATGTATATATTCCATAAAAATAGTTTGAATGCACACCCACATGACACATATATTTATGTGTTTCTAAACTATATGCATGTGTCATTGCATTGTTACATATTTTATTCACCTTCCAACAACCAAAAAAAAATTAACAGAATTAGATAGAATAAATATATACTGAAGTTCTATTTTTCCTTCTTGTCCTCCAGTGGGTCACTTTCTGGACTCCCTGGGGAATGCTTATCCCAATTTGGCAAACACTAAGATTTTGTCATGTCTCAATGAGAGGAACCAATTAATATTAAAGCTGTTTTGATTTTATCATCAATTGTGCACTACAGTTGTGAATAATCTACATCTACATACCATATTATAATGCACAATGCTGTGAGGTGTCACCTAGACCAAGGCATTCATTCCTCCAGCTGCAGGTAATATTGTTGGCTCCTGATGTCTCAGGAGGTGCTGACTCAGAGCTGGGATAATATACTTCCACATTCACCCCTCATCCAATGACAGGTCAGTGCAGGGAAATAAAGACCCATCTCGTTGTCTCAGTTGAAGACAACCTGAAAGGGCCCTCCCAGCTCCAGAGTTCCTACTGGGTTCAGATGAGGATTCTGTTGTAGTTACAATACAGTTCAATTGCTCCCTCTGAATAGTGCTACTTCCTCCACTCCTCTACAGATTGCAAGGGCACCCTGCCATAAATCTCCTGCACACAAATCTCTGTCCCAGAGGCTCTTTCCCGGGGAGCCCCAACAAAAACACATATACATCAGCATATACTTACAAATCTAGTTTGCTTATGTGTCGATTCCTAACAGACTTTATATGAGCCATCGGCAGTTTAAGAATTAAACTAACATCATGAATTTTCCTGAATCCTCATTAGATTCTCACTGAGTCAAGATTAATTTCACCTGGAGGTCTTTGTTTTTCTTATTATGGGGAAGCAAGCTTCCAAAAATTTGGGAGGAAGAGTGACTTCCCTTCTTCTGAGTTCCTGAGTCACATTCACTGTTGGGCTTGATACCATTGCTTCTGAGAACAGACTTTCTCCATGTTGACCTCAGCCATTTTGCCCTAGGACCACAGGCTGTGGTCCAGCTCCCACTGCTCACTCTGACTCCTCCTTCACTGTCACTGCAGCTCCTGACCCAATCCCAAGGTTATTCATTTCCAAGAACTGTCTCAGCACTTGGCCCACTAGCAGTGTAAGGTTCCTCTTTGAGGGAATCGGTTTGACTCCCTAGAGGCTATGGGGTTTAACTCACTAGTAATCATGACATTACTTTTCTCTTACACTTTTCTCAATGGAACTTATTTTCGGTTGGGCCACCCTGGGTGAGAACTCTGTTTTCCCAATGCACCAGTAAAAGAATAAACAAAGTAGCCATTATGGCCTCCTGGAGGGGAGAAATTTAAGGGATTGGACACAGGCCCCCATGTCCTGCTTACATATCCTTTGCGCAAGATGTAGAAACTCTCATAAAAATGGAATCTTAAGAACTAGCCCCACATAAACTTAAGTTTTACAGAATAATTATAAGCAGCATACCAATGACCCTAGAATACTTAACATCAATAAAAACTCAGTAGTATGTTTAGGTATAGTTTCTGACATATAATAGTAGAAAGAAGTATCAATATGCATGCAAAGTTTTGTTTAGGACAAAATGAAAATATATGCACATATAAATGGTTATAAAAATACTAATAACTAGAAAAATAGTCCTTCTTACCCCAAACCCCAGTTTATGCAGAATGGAGGGTGGTCTTTACAACATGTAACATAATATTTTTTTCTAAGTAATACAATAGTTCAATTAAATATTCTTTTGATAGATACCCTTGCATGCTTCATATGCCATGTGTTAGCTGTATATACACAGTTGATTAAATAATATTATTAAAGATAAAACAGAAGTATTTCATAAACAATTATTAGGCAGATTATAAGATAACACGTAAAAGGTGATACAGAAAATAAATATAAGACAAGCATATTATTTATTTATGACTTAGCTTTTGTCGAAAATGCAGCAAAAACCTTCATAGCAAGGCTCAGAGAGTTACCTGGAAGGTGACTTTGGCATCTCCCACGCTCTGCTATGTGTTAAATTTAATGGTGACAATGGTTCCTATGTCTGAAGTTTATTTTTTGGAGATGAAGCTCATCCTGAGATTCTCATTATTTATTAAAATGCTGAGGCTGGGGCTCCTTTCACAAATACAGATTGCTAACACATTAAAATACTGCTGCACATTGACACTATATAAAAATCACTCGATCAAATATGTCCAAATAAGTTATTCCAATACTCAATTTTAGGTAGGGTCATCAGATAGGATTAACAAATTTATCAAATAAATGAAAAGTAACCACTTATTATTCACCACTGAGTATACCAACAAATAGAAGATCAGCACTTACCTGAATAACATGCTTCAGTTTATCAATAATCTGATTTATCACAGGATCACTTCCTTTGACTTTGATTTCAGGATTTCCAGATTGGGCTTTGATTCCATTTCCAACCACACGCTGAGTATAGCTAACAAAGTGAAAAGTGAAAGATATGTGACTTAGTAACCTGCTCAGAGTGTTATCTGCCACAACTATCTGAACAGATTTGAGTTCATAAATTCACTCCTTTAAAAGAGTATGCAACAACGTATTTTTTCTTGGAACAGAACCTGATACAGCTGCAATGTTTTTCCTGGTTAAATGCTTGGCATGCAAATGTAGACTATTCTAATGTTTTTCTCACAAAGAACCCAACCAAAAATTGTGTTTTTAATACTATCTACCAACATACTAGAAAGAGTTAATATACATCTCAAGGTGCTACCAATTCTTGCTGAATTACACCTATGTCTGAATGCATATTATCTGGGTCAATTTACTTCATTTTATATAGTATATAGATGAGTCCCAATAATATTTTTTACATATTTGACTACAAAAGAACTATATATGTATTTTAAGTGCACACGTCAAAATCATAAACATTATAAATACACAACTAAAACTAGCAAAATCTTTTGCAAGTGGAGGAAACACTATCTGTTTTCACCAAGGTTCACCTGAAAGGGTCTAGTAAATCATGTTGTGTGTAAAAGGGTCATTTCACAGGTGGTTAAAGTCACTGCAAATCACTGCCTTTCCCAAATGACAATCATAGGACGCCAACTTAGTATTCATACAAATATTTAAATTCATCAGTCACAAAGATGTATTAAGTGCCTCCTATTACATTCAAGTCCCATAATAGGTGCCTGGGATTATAAGGAGCTGTAAGATTGTCCTCACAATACTCATTATCTACCTGGGGATATAATGTATCAATTAACTTGTTCATTCATGTATTCATTCATTACATTTTACCGTATTTTAAAAATACTTACTAGATTCCAGCAATATAATTACTCTTATTTTCCTGACAGGGTGGTGTAGCATAAAGACAAGTGAACAGTTAAAGCACAATACTAAAAATGAAGGCAATGTTCAGTATGCTATGAGGATAGCTAGAAGGACTTGCATATGCCAAGCGAGGGTGGACAGAACATTATCTGCCACATTATCTACCTAAATAAAAGACTGCAAAGTCCACTGTATGGTCCCTGGTGAAAACACAGATTACAAGCATTCGGGAAGCTTTCTCATTCTTCTGACGTAGCAATCTGAGAGTTGCTTTCTATGGTTCTCAGGACTGAGACTAATTATTTAGTAAACATGGATGTACAATAATTTCATGCCCTTTAGGGAACACATAGCTATACTTTCCTCTGACATCTGAGGAGATTTCTTTATTTCAACTACATCAACTAATATTCTTGACTTTACTGCTATTATGAAGATACATCAGTATTTTAATAGACTCTCAGCTTTTTTTTGCTTAAAGAGCAATTAGTAAAACAACTTATAAAATTCAGAATGTTCCTCTGCCTTACTTTAATGAAGAAGATGGATGCCCTGAACACAGGTAGTAGACACTGAGCTTGTGAGAAGTCTGTTTGGACTAAGACACTAGGGGAAAAACTAAAAGAGAAATTACAGCTTGAGGTAGCCCTTGAAGTATTAACGTAAGAAGAGGTTTTAGATGGTGCAGTTAACGCGAACTCCAAGGCAAAGGATGACATCCCAGAAGGAGAAATGGCAAAGGCACATGAATAACACACAGCGAAGAAAAACCAGGCTTTTGTCTACAAAGGGAGATTATAGAATGGGAGAAAGTAAGAGATAGGAGGCCAGGACCTCAGGATTCCATTCTATGTTTAAGACTCTCCTCTGAGTAATTTGTTTGCTTAAAGTAACACAATAAAGTGGCCTCGGAGACTTTTTGGCAAGCATCCTCACAATGTGTTTAATGTAATTTTCCTTTCCTCTATTCGAGCAGAGTATCACAACAATCCACATGCACTGTCGGAATTTTCTACAGCAACGGAAACTCTTTGAAAATATAAAAGTAGGTTTTATTGTTGAGAAGATGGCCTTACAAAAGGAGTTTCAAGGAATATTCAGTTCTTCCCAAGATCATGCAAATCCAATGACCAATTTTCAAAAGTGGATCAGACAATTTCGAATTAGGTCTTTCTAGTGATAATAAATGATGGAAATCTTTGATATGATAATATCAATTGGACATGACAAAAATGATATTAATAAATCTTTTTTATATTTAAAACAACCTTGAACCCACATCTTTATGCAGAAATAGAGGGGTTTAGAGTTTGGTATTGCATTATACATCAGGGATTTGGCAGTATATAGCAATAATAAATAGTAGAAGGAAAGCAATTATACATATGCTATTAACGTGTAATAATATTCTTTAGTTAAGAATTCAAGTAAACTATAAATAGTAGGTGTCTCTTAATTCTTCTGTAGCACTTTTATATTTTTGTTCCAAACATTTCAAGTAGATTGCACATGTGGCTCACTTATTAATGTGTTGATTATTAATAATGATAATAAATAATATAAATAAATAAATGGATAAATGTATGCCTATGATTCGGGCATTGTTTTAATTACTTTCTTTGGAATTTGTCAGTTCATCTTCATGAAAATCATTTGCTGTGGCCACGAGAATGTGCTTCATAGTCTTCAAAGTACAAGAAGCTTAACTGACTAAGGGCATCTGCTGCTTTGCTCTGAAATCTATTTCTGCATCTGCCTGCAGCCAGTGACTGAGCACAGCAGGGATACCAAAACAGGTCCATCTCTGGAACACACAGGGTCCTCTGAAGGCCAGTTTTGGCTCAGGATTCCTTAAGCCCTTGCTAACCCTTCCTTAGATTGCACATCATGTCAGTACACTGCTACTCAACCTTCCTTTCCTCTCTCCTTCACTCTGGGTCACACCTCCTTCACAACAAAGAGCTCTTGGATGCTTACTCAGTTTCCTCCCTATTTTCTCTCACAGGCATCTCCTTTAATAAAATCCTCTTGTGTTTAATCCCTTTTTTGGCATCTGCTCCTTGGAGGAACCAGGTTAATACACCATATAATATTTGTACTATAATTATTCCTATTCTAGAGATCGGGGATCTGAGATCTAAATAGGTTAAGTAACTTTCCCAAGACAACACTATTTGCTAAGTGTGCAGCAAGGATTTAGCCCCAGGGAATGTGAGCTCCAAATACAATCACTCCATAATTATTAGTGAAAACTCCAGAAACCAATAAATTAGAGATACAATTAGCTTGGTGCAAAGTGTTATTTCATTTTATCTTATTTTTTGCTGTAACTATAAGAAGGGATGTACTATTTTCTTCAAAAATCTCCTCAATGAACAGTCGTATATTACCAACTAAAGAGTAACATAGCAGTTGCTGACAAGGCGAGAAGAAAGTAACAGACTGCAAGTTTGCCATAAGATTTCCCTACGTTTCTCTAGAAACACAGACATAAGGCGAGCAATGGAAACTGAGATTACTGTCTTAATTTTAAGTAAGTATTACCTAGTTCACATCTTGCTTTATTTACAGACCATGAAACTTTCTTTTAAGATGCAATAAAGTTATTTCACATTAACCTGGAGAATTGCTTAGTTTTTGCTTTTATCACAGTTAATAACACAGTTATGTAACTCTAAAGATTTAGATAAAATTTACCAGAATTATCACTGACCAAGAATCTCATTCCAAACAAATAAATTATTGAATATTTCAGGATTATTATTCTTATGTATCATTTAGATAAGAAAACATACTTCAAAGTAAGACATTTAAGATATTTCAAGTAAAATACAATTTATTAAAATTGGTTATTCTTTTCTGTTTTTGTAAGGTTAAGAACCGCAATGCAATAATGGTACATACACACTAGAGTGGTTTAAATGAAAAAGACAGATAATACCACGTGTTGTAAGGATGTGGAGCAATTGGAACCCTCTCCCATTGTGGATGGGAGTGTAAACTGATTAAAAAAAAAACCACTATTTGACATGCATGCTAAAGCTAAATATATCCTACGACCACAGGCATATACTTAACAATATTCACCGAAAGACAGGTGTAAGAATGCTCAGAGAAGTACTTGTCAAAATAGCACCAAACTGGACACACTCAAACATCCATAAATGCTAGCATGAAAAATAAATGGTAGTATATTTTATGATGAAATACTATCTAGCAATGAGAATGAATGAATTACGACTGTACTCAAAATCTTATAAGCTAAATATTGAATGAAAGAAGCAAGATATGGAACATACTCTACAATTCATTTATAAAAAGTTCAAAAACTAATCAATGATGCTCGAAATTTCCATAAGTGCTACTCTAGGAGATAGTGTCTAGAAGGTTGAAGGGGACTCCTGGGGTTCTAGTAACATCATGTTTGTTGATTTGGTTCTGGGTTACATAGGAGTGCTCATTTTGTATTTAAAGAAAAGTATTAAACTGTACAGTTAAGATGTGGATACTTTACTGTACACATGTATTTTCAACCTAAATAAAATATTTACAGTAAAAATTCCTTGTGCTCTTTTCCTTAATATGTATACAACAGAAAAATTTGCATTCAACCACATATAAACAAAAGATACACATAGGTATTTTTAGCAGGGGCTAAATGGTTTTGTCATTACTAAATGAGTAATTTAGGATCTTAGTTTGATATAAAAACTAACTGCCTGCAAACTTTAATTTGCACACAAAAAAATATGGTTTCTAAATCAAATCATTTTTTCTAACAAAGACTTTTTATTTGAGTTTTTCTCATTATGAAATTTTAATAAATCATTAATCACTCTTTTTCCTCCTAAATGCACAAGTGATGGATAAAACATTTCAAGGATCCCTACAGAGGTTTCCTGACTTGAAAAATTGCTCACATTTCAGCGAGAAGGAAGGAATAAAACACAAAAAATAGAAAGGGAAATTTTTTGTTGGAGAAGTAATAGACCCACCATCTGTGCTTATGTCTTCTAAGCAGGTCTGGTAATGGATCACAGCAGTTTAATAGGAATACGCACTCCCCAAGTACGACTCGTTTTTCATTAACATGGAAAAAAGGCAAGCACTGATATATTTACATTCTATAAA